CGAATTTGCAACATACATTACACTTACTTAGATAATTTGCCGCGAAGTGCTTAAAACTTTATTTAATATGTATTGTTCCATATCAGCCAAGGTATGAACCGTTTACATGCGAGAAAAAACCATCAGCAAACCTAAAAATTAATATTAGAGAATATTTAGTTGCCCTCATTATTGACAAATTAAAATTTATTTAGAGAGGACCATTTCCGTTTTTACAATGTTTCAATAATTAAACCAATTACTGAAATAACAAAACAATTTAAAACGCAGATAACGTAATGTACACAACACTTTACAAAGTCTAAATACTAAATATACTTGAAATAATAAAACAAATTAAAACTATTCCTTACATCAAATATAAATGCCTAATTCCAAACGAAACCATTCAGATTTTATTGTAAATATCCCTGGATAATGCAAATATAATGAAAGAGATGCGTAAATTATGTTGTTAAGTTGTAGACGTGTCTGCTTTTCGCACGCAAAAACAGAGAAAACTAAAAAAATAATAATAAACAGAGATCAACTTCTAGAGATTTGTTCAAAGCGAGAACTGATTGGACAGAGTCAGAGATGAGAAAATTGTAAGCAAAATAAAACATCGTTTATACTCATATTTCTCTCACCACAAAATAAAATAAATTGGAAACTTGAAGCGTTAATAAACAATGTATAACCTTGTAATAATTCTGTAGAACGAAAACGAAGTTCTTATTAATAACAAGAAAGGAAAAAATCCAGAGAGCAAAATTGTGTTATGCAACTGACCCACTAATTAGTATGATATTCCAGTAATTAGTATACATTAGACATCAATGTCTAAATTTTTAATTGGGAATTTAAATACTCATGTTTACAGTCATATCATTTTTAAACGGTATCTGGCAAAACTCGGAATTTCGCTCTCGTTTCCTGTTTACTCACAAAAATATCAGCAATGTAGACTTTATCAAGACGTGCACATACATCTATCTTCTTCTCCAAAGTTTATTGATATATTATGGCAAATATGGAAGCATTCGTTCACAAATTTGGACAGTGCAGAACGTTCATGGAAGCTAAAATCAATTTTAGTTTCAGTTTTTATTACAAAGAAATAAAGATTGCATGTGATATGAGAATATGAAAAATCGTGAAAATAATATAATATACAATACCTAAATTATATAAATCAAGAAAACGCTTAGCAATTAAACTTATAATATTTTTTAACTTCTACCAATTTCGGTTTTGCACTACCAATATCGAAAAATTACAAGAAATGTACATCAAATCACTTCATGAGACATAAAATCATTTTTTTAAATGAACATTGTTTCTACATTACTCAAAATGCCATTTGTGCATTCAGCACAGCAACGAAGACAAGTACGAATGGCAGGCTACACCTAGGAGACGCCTGCACACCCAAGCGTAGCCGCAGCGAGCGGCGATAGGCTCCGAGCACGCCCCCGCCAACTCCGGGCGCTCCGCAAGGCTCGCCCCTTGGCCCGCGTGCGCCGGGCGCCGCTCGTTAGCGCCGCTCCTCATCCACGCAGCTAATACCGCGCTCCGCCGCGCACACGCGCACGCCCACGCCCGCGCCCGCACGCCCGCCCACGCCCACGCGGCAAGCAATCCGTCCGCCGCGCCGGACGCGATTAGGGCGGCGGCGCCCCCGCCCGCCACG